ACATGTAATGGACAAAATTAAACACAACTCTAATGATAATATGGCAAAATGGTCATTTATAATGGTGCACATATTTGTATGTGACTGGATCCGTTATCAATTTTCAATTTTTTATTAGAGGGCTTAGATTAGCTTTTGATTCAAATATTTACATACCATGACGTAAGAAACAAGATTCAATTAATTAATTATAGTTTGAACCGATACCAAGTTCTTTTTCTTTTATTGTTTTTAAATTTTTTCCAAGGTATGTTTTTTTGGTGGAGCTGTTGCCCTTTGCAGTGACATAAATGGATAAAATTAGACATGACTCTAATGATAATAGAGCAAAATGGTCATTTTTAATCATGCGCATACTATGTATGTGACTGGCTTTGTTATAAATTTATGCATCCAGAAAATTGTTAGGATCCAAATTTGGGAAAAAAGTTATTGAGATAACAAGTATATAATAATTTAATGAGAAATAAATCACAAGTATAAAAAATAAATTACATACAATATTTAATGTGATTCGGTTCTACCATTGAACCTACGTCCACGAAAAGAAACTCATTCTTTATTATAAGAGAAAAATCCTATATAAGAATACAACTTGAATTCAAATCCAACCCTTATATACCATTTCTCATCTCCCAAGAACCCTCTCTCACCATCCATGTATAAGGCTATATGTCGCCTCTTGTGTGCTTTTGTGTGTCTCTTTATAGTATATCAACCCACCTATTTATAAGGAATAATTTTTGGCCAAAATTCAAATAATAACAAGAAACTAATTATAATTCTCTAAACTTACACAGAGTAGAAAAAAATTTTTAATTCTAAACAAAATAGAAAATTTATTGACTACTATTTCAAGTAACTAAAATCAATTAAAAAACTAGTTATTGTTACACAAAACAAGAAACTTATCTTAAAAAAAATTAAGCCAATTTCCTAACCAAAAAAACCCGAGCAGCCACACTGTTACTTTGATACTTAAAGATTATTCCTTAATCGGTATGCATCCAGAAAATCCAAACATCTGTACCCAAAAACGTGAATGGCTTGATTTTTGTGTTTAATTTTGCCAGAGACTTTGTCCTCACCTAAAATTCAACTGGGTTTTGGAGACATTTAATTAGGTAATATTGCGCATACTTTATAGCCATGTCAATTTTCTTGTCTCATCACTTATCACGAAACTAAAAAAGGTATAAACGAGGAAAATCAGTTTATTTGAAAATAAAGAAGAAATTAATAATTTTGATTGTAAAAGAAATTGTATATCCCATAAACTGGCCTTTTTCTTATCTTTTGATCATAAACAAATATATTAGTTTATCAAGACAGATATAATAATGAATCTGTTCTGTGTTAAAAAATTCACAACCCAAATTTATAAATGCAATTTGGAACCTATTAGGGTCACTAGATTTGTAAAATTGTAGTTAGATCGTCAAAATTTTGTGAATCTAATTCCAAATCGTAAAACTAAAAGATACCTTGATCATTGATTTTGAGTTCAAATTCTTATATTTCACTGTTTAGTTTTGGAATGACTCGAACTTCATGCTATTAGCATATAATGCTAGAAATAAGTAAAAGCAAAAGAAAGAAGAAGGCAGCAAGGAAAATACCCTACCGAAATTGCCCCTAATGTTGCACAAAATCACCAAAGAAGCGGCAAAACACGGTGATGCCACTTCTACTGTTCCTCTGCACTCGGAGCTTTTTTTTTTTTTTTTTTGTCAACACAGGGGTGTTCGGGTCAAGATCCGAAGGCGGCCCGACTAATCCCCTGCGTCCAAGTACACCGCCATCCCAAGCGCACCGGGAGTTAAGTGGGATTCGACCACTTGACCTTGGAGTTCCGGAAAAAGCCCAAGACCAGATGGTCTAGCCCCGGGGGCTGCACTCGGGGCTTTTAATAGGTAGGATAGTGCACTTTTACGTAAATGTGTTGTATTAAAAAACTTTTTTTCCATGTACACTAACAATACCCAACCACACCTAACTCAATCATACTTGCCTTAACTCCATCATAATTATCATATTCGGAAACAAAACAATGTATAAATTTATTCTTACGAGGTCAATATTGCAGTTTTTTTTTCCTCGCTGTAGATTGCAGATGGTCACCATGACATTAGCAATCACTCAACATACAGCATTTAAGGTTTTAAAGTACAATGCCCCATGAACCAGTCATCTACTTATAGAACTCCATGACCCACAAGTTACATACAAAACATTTCACACTTATGCCTTTAAATCCAGCAGCAGTAGCCAGGGCTAGAAACTCTGTTTCATATCTCTCAATTCCTCCCCTATATTGAGTCACCACAACAAGATCTGCTAGGCAAGTAGCTTTGTCGCGTGCACTATCATCAGGAACCACAGGCAGAATTGCGTCAACAGCTATTACCTTTCCATTGTCTGGTAGAGCCTTGTAACAATTTTTCAGCAACTTCAAGCAATGACCATCATCCCAATCATGAAGAATCCACTACAAAAGTATAGATGGATGTTGTCTGTGAGTATTCCAGACAAAAGGCACTCCTTTTACAAAGCATCATAAGAAGATGACAGACTTTATGATCTTGAGAGTTATAGATCATTCACAACTACTAATATTTCTAATGTGTCATTATCCTATCTCTTAATCTGTAAGTATTCTCCTGATCTGTAGATACTTTCCTGATTATTTAAAATTCCATGTGCTATAACTAAAGTTAGAGAGAGTGTTATATACATGTGTAAGTAACTTTTAAGTTAAAGCGTCTGTCTCCTAACAACTAACTGTTCATTGATTAAAGTGGTAAAAATAAATGCAACTCAAATAAGAAGTTGGATAACTTATTAGACTGTGAAGATCTGCATAGAATGGTTCAAAAGAGGACTGTAGATAATTAGATTGAAAAGATCTGCAGAATATTGTTCAAAGATAGCATTTGTTGTGACTTCTAATAATATTTCCTTCAAAGTTGAACTTACCTTCATAAAAATGGCATCCCCCTGTGGAACACTTTCAAACATGTCTCCTCCAACATGTTCAACACCTGCAAATTTACCTTATTAAGAGTAGAAGGTAATGGATTACAGATTAAAAAAAAAAAATCCTATTCTAATGCAGTGGACTTATGGAATAAACAATTCTTCTTTTCAAACAATATATAGTTTGTGGAAGCCTGTGATTCAGTATAACAGTGTGTCGTACAACATATTGAAACTTCTTTAATTCCAAAAAAAAAAAATTATAAAACTCATGATGGTAAGTGCCTTTCTTCCCCAAAACTAACTCATTCGTTTTGCAATTTAACGGAGATTATTTTGAAATCTCTGCTTCTGTTTCTTTATTTGTTCTCACATGCTATCTTGAATTTGTTAATTAAAGGGTAATGAAGCAAAAGAGCAAACATAACTGAGCAACAAATGGAGAAGAGCAAAAATTATACCAGGATAGGCTGGTGCATGTTGTATAACATGTGGCAAATCAAAATTAATACCCTTGAGACTAGGGTATTTAGTTGTGATTATATTGAGGTTCATTCCAAGACCACCACCAACATCTACCAAAGTTTTGAGGTGCTCAAAACCTTTGTACCGTTCAAGCATTCTGTTTATGACGATAGCTGTGTGGTGGACCATTGCCTTGTTGAATACCTCATTGAATCTGGGGTCGCTTCCAAGAAATTCAAATGCATGCGTGCCATGCGCCCTGTGAAACGGATCTCCCCCTTTGCGAACTGCATCTTCTAATTCATACCTAAATTTTGGGTCCAAAAGCATATGTTATGGAGACCTTTTTACAAGCCGAATTGTTCTTAAATGCATGCAAAGAAGAGAAGCATCCATAGAGTTTACACGTGAACTCACAATGAAAACTATGAACAAAATTTATTATAGATCCGTGACAGTTTTATGTTGTCTTGAGTAATCAGTGCGCTACTTTAAATATAATAGTCTATGGATTTGATATTTCATAAAGGAATTATGTGTTACAACCGAAGTAGAGATTTGAGTCGTTTAAGTCCACTATCTTGTGTTGCTCTATCAAAATCCACTGATCCTATTTTGGCTATTTTAGAAGAAAATCACTAAAGTAATCCTTTTGCAGAGGATCAAAGACCATCACTAACAAACTCAATAGGTGCATCTTAGAATTACTACTTGTAGGTTAAGGCATAGTTAGAAGCAAAGGAGTGATTTGTTCTTCAATTTTTTTTTTAATGGACTAGGGGCTGGAAATTTTTTTTTTTTAAATGAATTTGATTACAATGTTAATCATTTTAACACGGTGTAAGTTCAGTATATATTTTGGTGGGATCCACACATATTGTTGAAAATGATTCCCAACTCATAATTTCAGCCGTGCATTTTTTTTCTTGGCCAATCATGACTGTAATGATTCCTGCTACTCTACCATGCATCCACGAAGGAGTAATCTCAACCATAGGAGTTTTTGTTATTATTAAACGGGATAAAAGAAAAGTGAAAATCTCACCAACTGTCAATGAAGACCTTATCTTGAAGCAGGCCCAGAACGGAGCCTAGTGAACCTCCTCCCTTTGTTTTGTTCTGTACAAAGAACTTGGCCACCGGTGCCAATCCATACACTCTTGTCGGCGTTTGGATATCATGATCGCCATCCACGTCGGTGGCAACGGAGCAGGTGAGCACCGAGTAGCTTGCCAGAAGCCGCAACATTCGATCCAGCATAGCAGCGGCATTTGGGTTTTCTGAAGACACGTTAGCCGCAATTTCTGAAGGCGACAGTTGAGCACCGGGACCAGCTCTGGCGATGATCTCGAACACATCGAGCCTTATGGCAGCAAGCAACACCATGGGCTGCGCTGCAGAGGTAACTAGCTGCATGGCGTACGAGAAGTGCTCTTCTTCTTCATCTTCTTCTTTTAGTACAACACCATGGTTCTTGGTTGTTTCTGCTAAAGAATCCATATTACTACTACACTTCAAAAGATCCCACCGGCCTACTAACTACAGATTCTACTCTATGTTCACTGAATTGTGGATTCGCCCTGGTGACTAAGCTTTCGGCTTGTACCAGTATTTAAGGAGACGGAGCCTCTAAGCTTACGTACCATTGGTGCAAATGTCCCAGCAGCCCACGTTCCAGTTTCTACAGACACAAAAGGAAATGCCGACATGCTACAGCATCTATAGTTATGATAGCGATATTAGGGAACCTACTATTATAGGTTTCTATTACCTCTAGTGGCAGATCAAGTTTTTTAGCGATTTTTTAAATATTATATTAAACTAATTAATATTAACTTTAGTAAGTTTTAATTAAAACTAGTAAGTATATGCCTAAAAGATAAGTTTTAGTCAGAAATAGAAATTTATACTTTGAGTAATTTAACTTACTTATTATTTGACAAAATTTACTTTTGTTTAAATTAAACTTACTTACGCATGTTGATTTTCTTTCCGAACTCCGCACTCCCAAAATCTACTTCTCTTTCAGTTACAATGTGCAATCTTTCCAGTTGGTTTAGGTCCTTCAGAATTGCCAAATCATCAGAGTTGCTCCTGGCGATGAACCGAGACAAAGTACAAAGTGATGTCAGCTTCCCGAGTCCTTGTGGAATTTGACGTAATTCATCGGTCATCTCATTGAAAAGGTGCCTCAAGTATACAAGGCCTTCAATCCTTTCAGGAAGGCTCGAAAGCTTATCACAAAAAGTGATATCCAGAGTTTCCAGATAATATAGATCACATATAGCTTCTGGCAGTGCCACGAAAGGATTATCACTTAAGTCCAAGTGCCGAAGATGAATCAACCCTCCGATCTTGGCTGGGATTTCAGCTAGCCCACAATGACATAAAGTCAGAGTCCTCACGCACTTCAAATGGCAGAACAGATTTTGGGGAACTACTCTTCCAAATCTATGAAAAGTTAAAAAGCTCCTGAGCCGTCCAAAATCAACGACTCGAGAACTAAACATCTCCTCCTCAGTGCCTTCTTCCAAAATTGTTAGATGACGTGGTCTTTCACTAGATGAATTTCTTCCAGTTCCATCAAGTGCATGACATTCATTTTTTGTGAGAAATTGTGCAAAATCATGCACTATGTCATGCATCTTGCACTGCATATATTCAGTTAACCCATAAAACCCATAGTAATATTTAACATTTTGTATTTCTTGAAAAAAGGAACGCATTGCCAAATTGTTGAAGTACTCAAGGCCCACCAGCTCCAAGCGCTCACCTCTTCGTCTTGGGTGAACATAACCTTGTGCTATCCACAGCCTAATAAGCTCTTCTACATCTATCTCATGATCTTTGGGAAAGACAGCACAATAGGAGAAGCAACGTTTCAGCTCCGGGGACAACTCGTTATAGCTTAGATACAAATGAGGGAAAAGTTCCATGGCCGCTTCCTCTAATTGCCATATCTCACTATCCAAAACATTCTGCCATTGTTGTACGGTATCTTTGAACCGTAACAAGCTTCCCATAGTCTTCGCAGCAAGTGGCAACCCCTTGTATTTTTTTGCAATTTTCTGCCCAATGCTTTCCACCTTCCTGCATAAGTCCCCTGATTTTCCAGCAAATGCTATCCTTTGCATGATTAGCCAACAATCAGAGTGAGAGATCATGCCTAGGCCGTGAGTATCAGTCGATCCCACCACTCTGGCCACTCTATGATTCCTTGTTGTCACCAAGATTACACTCCCAGGAGCCCATCCTTGAGAGAGTATTGGAAAGGTTTCCACTTTGAGTCATCCTCTGTCCAGACATCATCTAGGACAAGCAGGAATCTCTTACCGGAAAAAGTTTCTTTTATAAGTCGGATCAACGAATCCAACTCTAACATGTCATGAGAACTTTTTCCAGCACTCTCAAGGATAGTGTGGAGGTCAATTGTATATTTGTCCGCCTCAGCAACGGGTGCTTGGAGGGGGGCCTCCTCAGGATTCGAACCTTATCTTTTGGGGCAAGGGTCTTGGGGTTGAAGTTCTGATACCACTTGGGCTACTGCCTTTTTGTGGAAGCTAATTGTGTATTTGTCCGCCTCAGCAACGGGTGCTTGGAGGGGGGTAAGGATCTTGGGGTTGAAGTCCTGGTGCTTGGAGGGAGGCCTCCCCAGGATTCGAACCCTGGTCCTTTGGGATAAGGGTTTTGAGGTTGAAGTCCTGGTACTGCTTGGAGGGGGGCCTCCCCAGGATTCGAACCCTGGTCCTTTGGGATAAGGGTCTTGGGGTTGAAGTTCTGGTGCTTGGAGGGGGGCCTCCCCAGGATTCGAATCCTGGTCCTTTGGGATAAGGGTCTTGGGGTTGAAGTCCTAGTACTGGTACCAGGACTTCAACCCGAAGATCCTTACCCCAAAGGACCAGGGTTCGAATCTTGGGGAGGCCCCCCTCTAAGCACCCATTGTTGAGGCGGACAAATACACAATTGGCCTCCACAGATGGCTTTTGCGATCCTTTTTTGGTCGAAAGGATCCGATATGCAGCTGGGCAAGTGTGGTCTTTCCGCTACCCCCGACCCCTACTACAGAGATAACTTGAACCCCATCTCTTCCTTGACTAGTACTCTTAGACAAAACTTGGTCAAGTAAAGCATCCTTATCAGATTCTCGACCATAGATCTCTGATTCGTCGATGATTGAGGTAGTCATAATTCGCTGAAAATCTTGAGAATCAGGAATCCCCGAACTTGAAATAAATTCGAACTGGCATGCTTTTTCGAAAGTTAATTCTAGCTCTTCATTTATTTTCTTTATTTTCGAAGCAATATCACTACGCACAGGAAGTTGTTTGAGACAAGAACAAAGGGATGGGATAAAGGAACGAACCTTGTTCCCCAATGTTGGCTGCATTCTGGCATTCCGATAAGTTCCCTCATTTTCTGGTTTCAGAATCTTGACGTTCCACTCGTCCAGTACATCATCCATCTCATATGTTATGTCTTCAAGCTTTTCTAGCCACTTTCCGACAGGTCTCTCCTTCACCCTTCGTCTCTCTGCATCATGCAGCACTTCTTGAATCGTTTCCAAGCTTTTTTTGATATTTGCCACCTCTTCTTCAACCCCCATCACCAGGTTAACCTTCTCCCCAAGCTGCTTCACGACAACATTACCCAATACATCTATTACCTTTGGAACAAGCAATTCAGCCATTTCTTTGTTTTTGTACAAGGAGCATTGGAAATAAAATGTGGCGAAGATAGATATTTGGAAAGGATATTTGGTTGCAAATAGAAGGTTGATACAAAGGCGGACAACCAGATTGGTTACTTGGGACAACTCCTACTACATTGCTATATACTTGTTTTCTTGGTACAGCAGCATGCTGGTCTTCCCAGTCAACTTTTATTTAGTATACAATGGGTGGATCCATGTTCTCAGCTCCTTCTTCCCTTGGCGGGTTATACATATTTTGAATTTTACTAAATAAAATAGCTTTTAGAATACAAAGAGAAAATAGTAAAGAAATAGCAGAATCTTATCCTCCACATGCATTCCCAGCTCTTGTGCTTCTTTCCGGTGTTTTCAACCTAAAAACCTGATCCCATGCGCCCTCTATGCTTGACGTCACTCGTTCCCTTCTTTTCTTCCTCTTGAAAGTGATTCATCAACTGTCTCTTAGTCTTTGTGTATTTTTATATACCTTTTCAGCTGATTTGTTTAGCCTTTTTTGTTTGCTTTCAAAATTTCAAATTGGGCCACAGGGAACTGTTGATTTCCTTTATATAGTAAAATGCTGTTCACATTTATTTAGCAAAAATGCTATTTCACTTTCTCCAATGGCTTATAAAATAGTAGTCGGCCCCACACTGGCAATATCGCAGCGTGTGAATTCGAAAGATACATCTTGCATGTTGAACCAAGGAATAGACTGCTCTACCAACTACTCAAAACGTTTCTTACATTAAGTATTTGCAATTGAAGGGGTATTTGGTAATTGGATTCCACACCAGGGAACTCACTGCTCTACTCAAGATTTTAAGCGATATTGAAAAACCTCAAATTCGTCTATTGAATTAATGGTGAATCCATTACTATTTGAATTGCTTGAGGAAAGGAAGCTGCTCTGAACTTTCAGAGGAAGACGACTAAGTATCACAATAATACACCTTTTCCGAGAGATGGACACATGCAATTGTGGTGGAAGCTGCTCTGAACTTTCAAAGGAATCCAGCTACTACACAATAGCTTGCTTTGAGAGACGGACGTGTGCATGTGGTGCCGGCGTAAAACTAAAATTAGGGGGAAAAAAACACGGGATTGAAGAGGGCAATATATATCGCCGTGGGACTGTACTCTGTTTAAATTAACTATTTTTTGAAGTGTTTTTGAAATATTTTACATTAGTAATGCATATGAAAATTTTCTATTATAAAATTTTTTAAAAATATTTGATATATTGTATAGATGAAATATTTTTTGAATTATTATGTATTAATATAACATTATATTTAAAAAATTTATTTTTAAAAAAAGGGTCAATTCAAACAGAGCAAGCACAGCAAGTATTAGACAAAACCAGCTTGCTTTGGGGTCGAAAAAAGTCCTTAAAAAATGCTTGATCGAGAGGAACTTTAGCCATTGTTCCATATGAAAACTTCAAATAATAGTCTCTAAACAAACTCATCGGCTAAGGCACCGATGGTCCCGAAAAGAGCAGAGCTGCATCGATCAGATGAAACCCAAAATGCTTTCTTTAGAACAACCATTCCATTGGCGTTTTCCATGTATTACACTCTACGTATCATCTACACATACTGGCACATTCGTTCCCTCTAAAGAGCAAAAACAAAAAGAAATAAACTTTTTTGAGTACCCATCAGCACTGGCAAGTGGCAACCACCCGTATTTCGGCACGCAGCTGTCTCATCCGATATTAGAACAAAATGCAAATCGAATTAAATAGCAAATTAAAAAAGAGAAGCCTTGGAATGAAAATACCAAGGGAAGGGAAGGGAAGGGAAGAAAAGGGAGAAAAGAAGTGGGAAGAAACGAAACCTCTGATGGACGGCGACCATCCGATGCACGTTGTGTAATACCCGGTTATTTTTTGACAAAGATATTGCAAAATTAACAAATAAATAGATATTAGTTGATAATAGATAATAGATAAATATATATTATCACAAGAAATATTATTATTGTGTAGAGTTATAAACGAGTCGAATCGAACCGAGTATCTAATGTTTGAACTCTGTTCGTTAAGCGATTCGAACAACGTTCGTGTTCGTTCGTTAATTTTCGAACTCCAAACCTGTGTCCATAAACGAGCCGTTCGCGAAAATGTTCGAATCTAAATTATTTTAACCCTTAAATATGCCATACAAATCATTAATCATTCTCAAAAACAATTAAAGTATTAAGTGACTAAATTCTATTATTCATTAACTATATAACTAACATTAACATAAAAACAACAAATAAAACAAAGCAATTTGCCCTCCAAATATAAAAGTCTAACCATAAAATTAACCCTAAAATTTGTCAAATGATAATTATGTCCATGTTCGCGAATGTTTGTTAAAACTCACGAACATGCTCGTGTTCGCTCGAATATTAATCAAATAAAAAAATTCGTTCGAACTCGATTCATTTAAGGTTTCGAATGAGCCTTTCAAGCGAACGAGTCAAAACGAACCGAGTTACCCAACAGATCGGCTCATTTAACAGCTCTATTATTGTGTAGTGATAGTTAGTTACTAATAAACATGCTGTGTTAAATGATTAGTGCACTCCTAATTTATCACATCCCAAACTATTAAGTTTACTAAATAGTTTTAAGGATAGTGGGAGAAAGATGGAGAGAATGCTACCACTATCAAAATGAACATCCCCTTAATTTTCTTATCCATCAATTGCCAAGAATAGGAAGAATTTGTGTCTCTGCATCGTCTAGGAAAATTCCCTGCGTATTTCGAGGAAAATAGAGAGAACAAGAGATACAAGATAAGAGAATGACTCGGGATTTGACAAGTTGGAATTAAGAGTACGTACGACTTGAACCTTTGTTAATTTCTTGTAAAATTTTTTCCTCAAGCTTTGAAATTTAGGATGGATTTCTCTGTATAGTTTTAGACATAGGACTTGAACAAACTCTCATAGTAGTAGTTTATTAGTAGGAATTTGGAGTGTCGCAGTAGTTGTTTATTGCCTTTAATTTGTTTTTTGATAGAGCAACTTTTGAGCACCTTTTGCACTGTTATTCTATCATAATTTTGGCTACTTACTGTGTTAAATAATGAGATTTTGCTCATATTTCATATTTGTGTAAATTATAGGTTGTTGGCGTTAAAAGTAATCTCGTGAGACAAATTCTCAGAAGACTTCTCATCTCAGGGCGTGCCCACGCCAGAAATTATAGAGGATACCCAAAGCCGAATCCACGGAATTGACGGCAATAGGGCCAACTAGGACACCAGGTCCACGTGAACCAGATGCATGGGATTACAATCCCTAGAAAAGAGCTCTTAGCTTCCAATTGGCATCGGACGTTTTTTTCTCTTCTTCCTTGCGGCGGCTACTGAAAATATAAAAAGGCCAGATTCACGTGCAATTGATACATTAGCTTTAGTTTCCTTTTCCCATCTGTCAGACGTCTTCTTTTTCTTTTGACCTTGCCTCCTTAGCCGACTTTTGAAGGGAGAAAACATTAGAAAAGCTCCGATTATTTTATTGTCGCACGGCTGGTTCTCCATTAACAGAGAACTAGTTTCTTAATTCTAGTCAGGGATAATTGAAAATTTGATTCAATAATTATTATGAGATCTAAATTATTTTAATTGTTTTCTTCATTTATTGGTATTTATATGTTTTCTGCTTTTAATTGTTGTTATAGCTATCGTGTATGATTGAATAAGTGCGTAATATTTAATTATTCACGTAGGCTATTTGCTAATTGGGGGTAGTTGAATCCGTAATTATTCGATTATCTCCATCCCAGTAGCAACTGGCGTAATTGGGTTTATGTCAGGGAAAAATATGATCTAATTTAAACAAACCCTCGTAACGTGTTTTTTAGTTAGGATTGGGCTTTTCTAGTTATTAATGCAATCTAGAAATTAAATCCTACCGTCGTACCAAGGGTTGTTTTCAAGTTAGAAAAATAGTTAACGGACGTACCTTAACTATCGAGAAATTAAGGAATGGTTGGTTATTTATCGCGTGCATGACAACTATAACTAATCTATTAATAAATGGTGGAATTATCTGTGAATCGATGATCAGTGCATGAACCATTTCTGAAGTGTACCCTTGGCTAGAGTTTCTCTGATAGAGCAATTATTGGGCATATTTCGCACTATTATTCTATCCTAATTTTGGCTACTCATGATGCTAAGAGTTGAAATTTTACTCATATTTGATATTTGTGTGAATTGTAGGTGGTTAATATTAAAAGTAATCTTTTAAGGCAAATTTCTAGAAGACCCTTTATCTCAGAGCGTGTCCACGCCAGAAATTGTAGGAGATTACTCAAAAGCCGAACTCGCGGAATTAATAGCAATAGAACCAATCAAGAAATCGGGTCCACGTGAACCACGAGAGGCATGGGATTAAAACCCCAAAAGGAAAAGCTTTGCTCCTGACCTTTTGTGGAATTCTCCTGGCGGCGCTACAAATAGAATAAAAAGCCAGAATCACGTCCAATTGATAGATGAGCTTAGTTTCTTTTCCCAATTCATCAGACGTTTCTTTTTCTTTTGCGGCTAATCAATTAGATTAGCTTTTAGCTTTGATTCTTGGGTCAAACGTTAGCTTACTCTTGGGCAGCCATTAGAAAATGCCAGATTCACGTGTGATCAATTAGCTAAGCTTTAGTTTCTTTTTGCCCATCGGTCAGACGAGAAAGACTTTTCTATTGCTTTTTGGGTTTGTATGATAAAGACTCTTTCGGCTTTTACTCTTGCTCTGGATAATTTGTTTTGTTCTAGCGTTTGCAGCCCCAACACGAAGACGAAGCCAGGTTTCTCTTTGTTGTTTCTTCGATTAATTCATCTTTCCCAATTTCTTGGCGATTAATTCTTGGGAAACTGTGCGGATGAAATCAATCGAAGCACGCGAAATTGATACGATGAGGAGCGGCTAGTTTTCTCCTCTACCCAAAGGTTGACGCGAAGGCACGGTCCATAATATTTGTGAGATCTAATCGAATCTTCATTATTTCTTTCAACTTGTTGCTATTCGTGCATTTTCTGAATTAATTGTTCATGGATATTTTATTAATTGAATATCAACGGTCGGGTATTTGATTTAATTTAATAGCCTATTGTCACATTAACTAAATTGAATCCGTAATTGTTCGTTTAGTTGATACCTGGTGACAACCACCATAATTGGCTTTATGTTGGGGGAACGCAAGATCTAATTTAAATAAACCCTCTTAGTGAGTTTATTGGTTAGGGTTGGGTTCTTCTAATTTTAATGCAACTGAATAATTAAATTTCTACGGTCGTACCTAGGGTTGTTTTCTGGTCAGAGAAGCAGTCAATGGTCGTACCTTGACTGTCGAAAATGTAAGGAAGAACTGGTTGTCAGAGCTTGTTGATAGCTATAACCAACCTAGTGACGAATGAATGAAATAGCTTTGCATTGATGATCATTTAATTGGACCGTACCTGAACAGTTGATCCTTTGGGTAGAATTTTATTAATTGCTATTTTTAGTGTATTGAACTTGTTAAGTTATCTTTTGAATTTTATTTATTTTATTTTCATTTCCATCTCATTAATTATCCCCCCAATTTTATTCTATTGACTTGGAAAGAAACAACTTCCTACCCGTTCCCTGTAGAATCGACCCTACTTACCATTGTATGCAAATTTAATATTTTTATAGACAATTCTAGTATATCGGATCAAGCAAACTCTTCGAGAACAGGGTGAATCAAATAATCCATTGCACACCTAAGGTCCCTACTTCAGTACTCGGATTTGTTCTATAATTAATTGAGGTGGTAATTAGGACTTTTTAGTAATTATTATTGCACAGGTTTGGCACCTGTCAATTTTTGGCGCCGTTGCCGGGGAACGGTGTTTTGGTTAATTTTGTTTCTTTCTAAGTTGTTCTCTTTGGATTTGTCTGGCATTTTTCTAGTTTATGCCTCGTTCTTCTCGTACAGGCGAATTGATTTTTGATTCGGAAGTAGAGAAGATTACGCGCCGAACAAGGAAAAAAACTAGACAGCTCAAAGAAGAGTAATCTAGCTTTGCATCTCAGGGACTGGATCCTGAGGTTGAATCAACAGATTCAAGTGGTGAAAATTTAAGTGACACAGGCCAAGAAGATATCCTTATGGCGAATGCAAGAACACTACGAGAGTTGGCTGCTCCGGAATTGCCCCATCAGCTTTTGTGCATTACATTTCCAGTTCTAATAGGGAATACCTCTTTCAAACTGAAGTCGGGATTAATTCACCTATTACCCACGTTCCATGGCCTCTCAGGTGAAGAACCCCATAAACACATCCAGGAGTTCGATCTTGTATGCTCCAGTATGAAGCCTCCAGGAATTACTGAGGAGCAGATCAAACTCAAATCCTTCTCCTTCTCCCTAAAAGATGCAGCGAAAGACTGGTTGTACTACCTACATGCAGGTAGTATCACAACATGGGCCCAACTGAAAAAGCAATTTTTGGAAAAATTCTTTCCTGCATCCCATACTGTAAGTCTAAGAAAAGAGATATGCAGTATTAAGCAGTATTCTGTAGAGTCCCTATATGACTATTGGGAAAGATTCAATAAGTTGTGCACTAGATGTCCACAGCATTAAATTAGTAAACAACTATTGATCCAATACTTCTATGAGGGACTCCAGTCGTCTGATAGGAGTATTATTGATGCTATAAGCGGGGGCGCGTTAGCAAATAAGACCCCGAGGGAGGCATGGCTGCTCATTGAAGCTATGGCAGAAAATTCTTAACAATTTGGCTTCCGTGAGAGTAACCCTATCCGTAGGGTTAATGAGATAGAAACGTCATCCATTCAGCAGTAGCTATCGGAGCTAATATCGTTTGTTCGACAATTAGCTGTGGGGAACATGCACCAAGCAAAGGTCTGTGAAATCTGCACAAACGTGGGTCATCCCACTGACTCGTGCCCCATGTTGCAAGAGGATGCAGTTGAACAAGTGAACATGGCTGGAGGCGTGCCCACACCTCATAGGCAGTACGATCCATACTCCAACACGTACAATCAGAGTTGGAGAGACCACCCCAACTTCAGCTATGGAAACAGGCCACAGAGTTCATTCTCAAATCGTCCACCAGGATTTCAGCAACCATGGCAACCAAAGTCTCAATCTTCGTCCTCCAATTCAAGAGGCTCTTTGGAGGATATTGTCAAGAGTTTGGCCACGACTACCACTCAACTCCAGCAAGAAACTAGATCATTGGTCACGAGCATCGCTCAGTTCCCGCAAGAAACCAGATTGAGTATGAAAAATTTGGAGACTCAAATAAGTCACATGGCGACTGCAATTAATCGCTTGGAGTCTCACGTTTTTGAAAAATTGCCATCACAACTCAAGGTAAATCTCAAAAATGTAAGTGCCATGACACTAAGAAGTGGCAAGGAAATGGTGGGGTCTAAGTTGATGAATTCGAAAAGCAAAAGTGAGGAGGAGATAGAAAAAGGAATTGAGGAGGAAGGGCGCATTCGCGAAGAGTCTAAGGTAACATCTATTCCTTCGATCCCTATTAAATCTAATCTAGCTTCTTTTCCTTGCAGGTTGGAAAAGACAAAGAGGGTAGAAAAGGAAAAAGAAATCCTGGATGTATTCCGCAAAGTGCAAGTAAACATCCCCCTATTGGACGCGATCAAGCAGGTATCCAAGTACGCAAAGTTCTTGAAAAAGTTATGCGTTAACAAAAGAAAGCTAAGGGGTGATGAGAGAGTGATGGTATGAGAGAATGTATCAGCTGTACTTCAAAGGAAGCTCCCACCCAAATGCGGGGATCTAGGTATGTTTACTATTCCCTGTAAGATTGGTCATTCTAATATCGAAAATGTCATGATAGATTTAAAAGCTTCTATTAATGTGATGCCTAAATCGATCTATGATTCCCTAAATTTAGGACCTTTAAAAGAAATAGGGATAATAATTCAATTGGCTAATCTTACATTTGCTTATCCGGATGGAATAGTTGAGAATGTTTTAGTGCAAGTAGATGGATTAATTTTTTCTGCTGATTTTTATGTGCTTTACATGGATGATAGAAGTGCCCCAAATCCATCACCCATTATATTAGGAAGGCCATTCTTGAGTACTGCCCAAAATCACCTAATCTGATATCTCTTTTTACACATCCAATGGTACATGATTCTGGTTTAGATACTTTGAGTTATTGACCATGATTGTTGCGTTTCAAGCTGACTTGGGGTTTTCTTTTTTCTTTTTCCCAAATTAAACCCGAGAGATTCCAACTTTTTGCGTTGGCTTTCTTCACTTATTTTAGCTTAAGTAGTTAGCCATTAGAAAAGGTGTTAATCGACTATATTCTGGTTGATATTAGACATTACATATTTACATGAACAATTACGTGAGTTAAATATCGTCTCCAAAGGAATGCTTTAGTCCAGGCTTTTGTTTGGATTGTGTTAAGCTGCAGCTGGTAGAGATTTCTACCCATGGCTCGAGTAATCTTGCGTTAATCTGTTGATGGTTATGAACTTGTAGTTTTTCGCTTTTACAAATTTCTTCACCATATCAATGTGCTTAGTTTTGGTGGATACTAGCCATTAGGTGGTTTTCTACTTGTTAATGATTACCTCTCAATGAGTTCCTGGTGCTTGTGTTAGTTTTCTACAACTTGATTCATAGTTGCTTTAACACATGCAATTAACAGAAATTTATAAAATATTTCTTACTTAAATTTGCATAGGTGTTTCCCTTGTGGGTCTGTAAAAACTCATCTTCCTAATGGAGATATTGATTAATGGCATTTGGTTGTACCAATGCTGAGGATATCAGTATATATATATATTTTCCTTTTTGTTTGCGTTTTTTTTACCTCCCACCCCTTCCCACACCCTTTCACCCCCAACTGGCAGGTATAGGATCCAAACCCTAAACCCGATAATGGGAAGAACTTTAACAATCCTCTTCTAGCAACTGAACCAATCCAAGTAGTTCATATCAGTACCTATTCTTGAAACAGAAGATCATTTTATAAAAATACTAATAAAACTGTAGGAATCTATCCTAATTTTTAATCTCAAACAAGTTTTTGGGCAGATTAATGGATATGCATGACGGGTTCCTGAACATGGAGTTCCTTGTTCCGTATCACGATCAATTTAAATCTGCAGAGTTTGTAGTGAAAGGACATCCATCTTTTTCACGCTGAGGTTAAGGCCTCCTTTTTTTTTTTTTTTTTTTCTGTTGATGTTATGACATGCATGACAAATTTTTACCTCGACTTCTACTTAAGATTTCGTATATTGTACTCATCGATGATTTTTTGGGCAAGTATGTAACAGCATCAAAAGCCATTTATTATGGTACTTTGGTGGTTAATTGTTCCTACCCAGAGACTTTACAAGGGAAGTATTTATTCAAAGTTTTTTGTATGTTGTGGACAAACCTGCTGAAAATTGTTACTGGTGACTTTAGAAATACTTGATCTGTATTAATCTGGTGTCTTATTAACGCTTTGTTTTTATTTCATGAAAGAATTAACTTGAATAAACGTACGTTCTGGGGACTTCTTTTATTTATTTGTGGTGGAAGCATTAGCAATTATGGTGAAAATTATTTGAGATTGGTGAACGATTCTTAATTATGAATGCTTAATTCCTTGAAGATTTAATCTCAAAGTTTCATATGTTGTCATTTTACAAATCCCGCAATTTTCATCTTGGGGAACGGAGATAAGCTAACTCGATAACCTTATTTGTGAAAAGTCCAAAGAGATATTGTGGGAAAAAATTTGTTTCGCAGTTTAATTAGGCCTATGATGTTACTCCTTAGTTAATATCGGGAATATTACCCTATAGGGCTGCAAACGAATTGAGTCGCTCGCGACCGGCTCGAGTCGAGCTCGATCAATATCGAGCTCGAGTCGGCTCGAGTCGAAATCGAGCTCGAACTCGAGTTCAAATTATTAAGCTCGTTAGCTCGCGAGTTCGAGTATATATATATATATATATATATATATATATATATATATATATATATATATATATATATATATATATATATATAATATTTTTTATTTTAAGTATATATATTTTTTATTTTTTTATTTTAATAGTAAAATTACATATATATCCTTAATATTTTATTATTTATTAAGAAAAAAATATTATATTATTTATTTTTTAAAAAATATTATATTATTTATTTTTTAAAAAATAAAATAATTATTTTTTATTTTTTTCAAGTTCGAATCGATTCGAGTCGAGCTCGAGCTTTAAATTGTCGGCTCGTCGAACTCGAGCTCGAGTTCGAGTTTGGTAAAATTTAATCGAGACTCGACTTGATTAGCCCAAAACTCGACTCGATTCGGCTCGTTTGCAGCCCTAACCCTAGATGTCAATGAATACTTGCTTTTAAATAATTAATCTAAACAATTATTGCATTATTTGAAAATTAAAGGAACAAATGCATTTTTCATCCCTAATGTTTAAGGTGTTAACCAATTTCGTCCCTAAAGTTTCATACAAAATACATTTTATCCTTGTAATTTTATAATTTGACTAATTTCATCCTTAAAGTTTTAGACAAACACATTTCATTCTCATAGTTTAATAAATTTGGCTAATTGAGGACAATTGATGGATTGTCAAGGATTTTAAATGGAATATCGTCACTTCACCATAGCATGCCCATTAGTGGAAAAAACATTGGATCAACAAAAAGCTCAAAAATCTTTTCTTAATTCACTTTCTCATTTTAGTACCCAAAAAAACCTAAGAAATTTTTAGCCACCATTACTCTCTTTTTTTATCATAATTGAACAAGAAGATCCAAAGAATATGAAGTCGTGGAAAACAAACAACTCTAGTATAACCAATTGGGAAAAAATGTTGAACAACCCATTACAACTAATTGGAGAAAAATATTAATGCGAAAGAAAGAATGGTTTGGATTGTTATTTATTTGCAAAATTTTGTTTTGTTGCATCATGTACATGTTTGTCAATCATCTATTTATCTTTCAATCTATTTGTTTTATCTCAAATACATCATATCATAATTTTTTTAAAAAAGGATAGTCTCCTATCCAAAAACACTTGTTATTTTTGTAATTTAATCAATAACTGAATTAAGTATTAATAATACAATTACTAATGGGACGTGTGATGATATTATGTCCAAATTGGTTAACAATCATTTAATTATCCTCAATTGGTAGAAAATATGAAACTATGAGGATGAAATGTGTTTTACATAAACTTTAGGGACAAAATTGGTCAAAAAAAGTAATCTGTTTTGCATGAAACTTTAGGGATGAAATTGATTAATACCTTAAACATTGGGGATGAGAAGTGCATTTTCCCCGAAAATTAAATGTCCTACTTGCGTTATTTTTTAGCATAAACTATAAATAAATAGAACTAAAGGACATAAGAACTCAATCAAAACCAAGCCACCTAAAATAACTCCTATTTTCGTGGTCAAAATGCTTGGCACTAATCTACAAAAAAAAAAAAAAATCAAGCCCACTTTGCCAGTAGAGACATACAACCAGCTCCTAAAAGAAGGGAAACATTTGCCCCTATTTGAAGCCAACCATTATTTTGCATCTTTGGATTCATGAAATCAGTTGCAAG